TTCATGAGTTGGAGTGCCACGTGTCATCAGAGGATTGGCTCCTCCAAAACCTCTCTGAGGCTGACACGTGTCAACATGCTATTAGGCCACTTGGATAGGGTATTTTTACCCTAAACATTTGCCCCTCACAGGTGTGACGTGGCTTGCCACGTGGCACCTGTGACAGGCGTCATGATCTGAGAAGGTGACGATTCGTCTCCTTTTTTTTTGTTTTTTTAATCTCGAATTTGGAAGGTGACGGTTCGCCTTCTAGGGTTCTCTATAAGTAGAGACCCCCTCCTCTCATTTTCACACTTTGCAAATTTTTGTTGAGAAATTTTTCAGAGAAAGAGAACTCTGATATCGGCTGCTAGTTCTTGCACAACCGTCTTCCTTTTCCTCACTTAACCGGTCACCGTCTAAGTGCTCTTCATTCAAAACTTATTAAAACCGCCTGAGAGTCTTTTGTCACCCTCCTAGCTTTCAATACACCCACAACCGGTCAACCGTTTGGGGTATCATCAAGCAACACTTTAGAGGAGCGGTTGGGTTGTTCAATTTTCAATTGCTCTTGAAGAGGGTACATCTGGGTTAGCGCCTGGGTATCTAGCAAGCAACACATATATTTCCGGCTGCTGATCCGGATAGCCAACTTTCTCCACTCAAAGCATCTTCAAGGTACCGTCTCTACCCCTTGCAACTTTTTGAGTTTTTTCCAGTTGTATAGCTTGTAAAGAATAATGGACTCACCCAACACACACACGACACGACCTAGGACAGTTGTTAGCCGGTCACCAGATACGGCTGAGTCTAGGACTGGGGATGCCGTTTGGGGGTGTTTGGACCACCCTTACTCTTATGCGAATCCGACCATCTTTGTTCATGTGCAAGACAAAATGGCTTGGACAAAACGAACGGCTGTAGACCCTGAATACCAATCAGATGGCTCAGCCGAAGCGCCGGCTGACATAGAGCATAATGACCCTCTAGGCGCTCCCAACACTCCAAGTGATAACATATTGGAGGAGTCTGAGGAGTTAGGCGGTGATGATACCGTCCAGCAGTCAGAGCTATATTGAGGGGCTATGATTTGGGCGTCTGGCAGTTAACACCTAATTCTTGGCTGAACATATTAGGATTTATTACTGCCTGCGAGATGTAGAACGTGACGCCTAGCTGGGAGGCGTTTGCACATATGCATTACCTTAGCCGTGCCCCAAGCGGCTGGAGGGCGTGGTATACATTAACCACGAACCCAGAATACATGATGACGCTTGAAAAGCCGTCGAAGTGGAGTAATTGGAAGAGAAAATTTTACTTAGTCTCCTCCCCCTCCCTTCGCCCGAACCGGCTGCTTCGTCGTTATAATACCCAGCCGGCCCTCCTAGGGAAAAAGTGCGCCCTTCCCCGCGTGCCGGAGGAGGCCTGGACGCAATAATGGAGGCAAGGCTCTTCCAAAGGACCACCATGCCCTTAGAGGACGGGTCCGAAATAATTGTACCCAAAAACTGGGTACCTCATCCGAACTGGTTAAAGGACGAGGCGTTCCTTTCCACTTGTGGCCTGAGCACAATGTTTAGCAGACATATGTTGGCTGATAACCGACACTTTTTGCCGTCTGTATCATTCTGTAATGGCATTTGACTTTTTGATTCTTTTTGTAGAGAAAGGACTAGAGATGGTGCCTCTTGAGAAGACGCCTGCTAAATCTGCTGCTCAGATCCGGAAGGATCAGTTGGAAAAGAAAAGGGCCCAACTGGCGGCCAAGACGATGGGGTAAGCTCAGGCTAAGCTCTTTTTTACCGTCTGTATACTTTAGTTGTCAATACAGCTACTAACCGGTTGTGTTCTGTCTCAGGCGGGGAGTAAGAATGTTCCTCGCTCTATCTCGAAAATGTTAAAAAGGACGGTTGAGGTGCCTCCTCAACGTCCTTCCAAGACAAGGAGGGTTACGGCTGCCCCTACCTCGTCCGGGAGACCGCCTGTAGCTGACAGGCCGACTTTTGCGGGCAAAAGCCTGAAAGATCTTGGTCTCAATACTGAGACGGTCGACCTAGAGGTTAGGGAGGCGGAGACTCCTTCAAGCCGGCCGCAAGCTGCAGCGACCGGTTTCAATGCGGCAGGGGGTGGGTTGACCCCTCAGCCTGAAAACGAAGGTATGGCTTTCACCTTTGATTCGACCTGGCCGCTGGGCCTATGCGAGTCAAGTCCCAAGCTACCCAATCCGGGGATTCTTCAGGCAGCCGGCAGAATGTAGGTGCCGCCTATGCTCAGTACTTAATAAATAAATTTGTTGATGCAGATGCCTCTTCTCGTTGGCCTGACCTCCAGCAATACGCAAGGAGGATGCTGAGGACCATCACACGGTCCGAGAAGGAGGCGGTGCCGGGCGTGCACCAGGTCAACATTGACCGCATCAACTCGCTGCTTGCTGAGGTAACTAGCCGGTTAAGGTGCTTTTGCCGGTTGTACCATAATTGAGAGGCTAAACCTTTTCCGGCTGGTTTTGCAGGTGATGCCAAGGGTATACGACATAAAGGTCCCCTTGAGGAAGAAGCAGGAGGAGGTAAGAGATGCCAATATAGGCGGGCAGCCAATCTCATAGATGTTACCCAATACAACACTTTAATGTATGAGATTAAAACTAAAAGCCGGGAGATGAAACAGGAGGAGCTTATCAAGGATCTCAATGCGGTTACGGAGACGGCCAACAAAAAGGCGGCTGACTTTGAGCTTCAAGTGAACAACCTCCAAGCTGATGTCAAAGCATTGGGGGAGGCCGATAAGGAGAACGCCCAGCTGCGGGCAGACGTCTCTCGGTTGAAGAATAAGCTGGCCCAGACGCAGGCGGATCACAAACCTAAGCTGGAGGCTAAGTAGGACCAGCTGGTTGCTGAAAATGAGCAAGACTGCGAGGCTCGCATGAAAATGGCCTGGTCCCTCATCCACTCAGACACCGAAGGGGAGTTCTTAAAGCTAAGGTACAAGTATGCCACCGAGGTGTACGATGCTCAAGCTCTCGGCCTGGAGAAGTCGGCTCCCTTCGTAGAATGGGCTAGCATTGCAGAGGAGGTGAAAGGAATGGTGTCCTTCTAACAAGTGTATTATTCTGATAGAGGGTTAAGAATTATCAGGAAGCTAATTCTTCAGTGAGATCAAGTGATCAGAATGCCTAGGTGGAGGCCGCTTCCGATCTGTAATATTAGTGAACAATTAATATTACAACTTTGTCTTGACTGAACCCTTCGGGTCAAACCCAAACGAACTGCCGATCCAAACCTTCGAATCAATCCGAAGGATTTGATGGGTCACTAGAGTATTAAGAACACAGACGTCGGATATCAACAAGCAACAAGTTCGAGCGTAGTCGTAGCATCACAATGGCCTAGCCATGTGGACGCTAGGCTAGCTCGAGCTAGCATGCACTTTGCATGGCTAGGCGCAAGCCTAGACGCACCTTCTGTGCTAGCCGCACATGGCAGCACCATCGCTAGAATTAGGTGCTTGCGTGTGTGCGTGCCTCGCATGGCAGCACCATCGCAGCACCATGCGTGCTTGCGTGTGTGTGCGTGCCTCGCATGGTAGCAGCATGCGTGCTGGCTTGTGTGCGTGCCTTCGCATGGCAGCACCAAGCAGTAGAAGCACGCTGTGCTTGCTGTGCGTGTGTGCGTGTGAGTGCATGCCTTCGCATAGCTGCGTGCGCTTGCGTGCGTGCCTTCGCATGGCAGAACCAAGCACAGTGAGCTAGGAGCAGCGCCAGGCGGCAAGCAGCAAGCAGCGAAGCCTCGCCCAGCGCTCAGCACCCAGCAGCATACGTGGCTCGCTAGCAGCACGCATGTGCTAGGCGTGCTGGCTGTGCTAGCTGTGCTGGGCTGGCAGTGCATGCTGGCCAGCAAGGCTGGCAGCCAGCTCACCCCTTTGCTTGATGTCAGTTTGAGGAGAGTGGGGACCAAGGTTAGAGCCATGCCTTGGGGAGCAAGGCAATGGTCCCCCCATGGTTATGGTCCTCACCTAACCTCTCCTCTCCTCATGCCACTTGTTGATTTGTAATTGCATTGTTTTATAATTTATTTTGGAATTAAATAAATTAGTGAAAAATGCAACTGTCCCACATTGATCATGAATGGGAAGAACAAGTTGCATTTCCCTATAAATTAAATACCCCATGATTGGGCATTTGGGAAACAACTTGAGTGGAACTCAAAAAGGCATCTCTTATTATTGAGAAAACCTTTAAGTTCGTAAAACTCTAGTTTTATACTTGGTCAAGTCTCGACTAACCCTCGAGGCGAAGATCGTTCGGGTGGGGTCGTGGGTACGAGCAGTTGGAGGCCGTCACGCTTGTGAGGCTTTAAGCTTCGAAGTAAGAGCTTGGTTTACGAGCGAAGAAGGCTTCAAGGGTATTACTTCTTTATCCCTTTTCTTAATTATTGTTTAATTATGTTTATGCATGCTTTATTGCTTTAATTATTGAGGCGGGTCTTGGGCAGGTTTCTCTTCCGCGTAGCGTTGGACGCTACAAAACCCAACAGTGGTATCAGAGTCGCGCTCTTTTTAATTATTGCAATTTGTAATTAATTAAGGTGATTTAAAATGGATTTAAATTTCTGGTTTTGCTTTCCTAATTGGATTAGAAGCTCGTTCTAATTATTTTTAAAACTCGTATTTTTCTTATTTTGGCTGTCGAACCCAGATTTCGACTCAAAAATAGTGATTTTTGGGTGGAATCGATGTTCTAAATCGTTTTTTTTGTTCTTTTAGGGTTGTTCAGAAGCCAAAATCCAGCCTGAAATATGTTTTTTGAGGGGTTTTTCGTTTTTGACAAAAAATTTTAAATCTTTATGCCTTGATTAATTTATGCATGTTAAGGGTAGATTAAATGTATGGTTACATCCCTAATCTACTGCAATTATAAACCCTTTTAAGCAATCTTCACATAAAAAAATCTTTGACCACCACCAAATTTAAAAAAACTTGTTTTCTTAAAGATTCTCTCCATGGAAACCCTCAAAAACTCGAATATGAACAACAAATCTGCAGAAGAACATGATCAAATCATTCGCTCAAACAAGAAACCTAAAAGGAAGATTAATCATTTAATCTTCCATAGTCAAACAGATGAAGAAATGCATGATGCTCAAGGAAAAGAGGATGACAGCATTACGGAGGTTCACAAAGAAGGTCTGGTAGCCAGGAATGTCCCTGAGTCGCATTCTTTCAGGGAAATACTTCAAGGCACTATTCGAGATGCTTCTCGAATCAATACTGAGACAGAGGAAATTGATATTGATATAGAGGATGTTTCTGATGATGAAGCAATTCCAGAGGACATCCTTAAGGATGAACGTTGTCCTGTGATTCAATTGACCAAGGAAGAGAAGGCGAGACTCAAGCAACCATGGATGAATTCTTTAATCATCAAACTCTTCAGTGGCAGGATCGACTATATGGGATTGATGAGAAGACACAAGAAAAAATGGAACATCAAAGGGGAACTAGCTCTCACTGACATAGGCTGTAATTATTATATTGCCAGATTCTCCAATCAGGTTGATTATAATTATGTGCTCACTCAAGGACCATGGATGCTTGATGACAACTACCTCACAATTAGAAAATGGGTGCCCAATTTTTTGCCAGATGAATCTCCTATTAAAGTGCTCACAGCCTCGGTTCGCATACCCAATTTACCAGTGGAGTACTTTGATATCAATTTTCTCAACAAAGTCGGGTCTAAGATTGGCAAGGTATTGCGTGTTGATAAAACCACTACACAAGCAGAACGTGGGCAATTTACTAGACTCAGTGTGGAGATTGATTTATCTAAACCGTTATTGTCAAAATTCTGGTTGAAAGGTAGAATTTGGAGGATTCAGTATGAAGGTATCAAAATGGTCTACTTCAAATGTGGTAAAATGGGGCATGTTGCAAATGAATGTGAGACACAAGCTGCTATGCTAAGGCTCAACTCCAGGGAATGTTCATTCATGACAACCCCCTGCATGAACAAGTACAAAAGCCAGAGGAGAAGGAAGACTTCGAGTCATGGATGTTGGTTAAAAAACCGACCCGAAAAAAACCCGGTAAAAGTGCTAATGGACCAGATGAGGCTGCTAACGTCTTGCCTGGTGGTTCAGCAGGCCAGGATAAGGGTGGTGCTGGTGGAGAACAACCGCGAGTTGAAATAGGAAATATACTCCGGAAGACTGATGTTGGCAAAAATCACGGGAATGGCTCAAGATTCTTTGCACTTGAGATAGAAACTATTGCGCTTGATAAGGAACAGAATATGGAAGTGGAAGATATGGTTGACTCCCCAAAAGATAGAGAGGGTACTATTTTTTCATCTATTAACCTGGGTGAAAATTCTCAACAGAACAAATCCAAGGATAAATTCGTTCATAAAGATAAGGCAGGAAAGTCCAAAGCTAGCTAGCAAAAACCGAAGCCAAAAGATTCTGTTTTCAATTTTTATCATGCTGAAAAAAGAAATATATCTTTATCTGACTCTTCTAGAGCACTCAAGGAAAAGGAAATTAATTTCACTACGCCTGTTATTATATCTAATAGTAACACGAGCCAAGGCAAAGAAAATTTGGGGCCCTATTTCGAAGCTAATCACCACGCCACTTCACAAGCTAACCAAGGACCTGAGAAGCCAGAACAAGTCATCCTTACGCAAGATACCTCTGTTAATCATGTTTCCAACTCCACACCTGATCATTCTGAGCATCCCCCCGGAGAAAACCCTATTTGTGGGACATCCTATGGAACACCCGTATTTGATGATCTCAACACCAATGACGCACATGTTGGAGTTGAGCCTGGATTCATTCCTACCACCAATCTCGAAGCCGAAGGAATTGGTGGCTACAATAAAAATTCCAAGTGAATTGCAGCGCCTGCTAAGACTCATTAGCCAAGCTTATATGTCAAGTCTTCCCTCAATACCTTTATCTATGGAAGAAAGCCTACCAGTGTTAGCTCCGAATTCACTACCAATCTCGTGTATGGTGTGGAATGTACAGGGTGCAGGAAGTTCGAATTTTATCAGGTCTTTGAAAGACCTTATTCATGCTCATAAACCGAATGTATTGGTTCTGGTTGAAACACATATGGGTGGGGATCAGGCAGTTAAAATTGCTAACACCATTAAGTACGATGGACATGAAAGAGTGGATGCTATGGGTTTCAGTGGTGGGATTTGGGTGTTATGGAAAACTGATTTGGTTACAGTGAACCCCATTCTTAAACACTATCAACATATCACCATGGAAATCAGTAGAGTTGGGGATAGACCGTGGTATTTTTCGGCAGTCTATGCCAACCCAGACCCTACGAAAAGAAAGGAGTTGTGGAAAGAATTGCAGGAGTTTGCTAGGCAAAATAATGAGCCATGGTTGGTTGCAGGGGACTTCAATGACACTAGATTTCCCTCGGAAAGAAACACTTTTTGTAGAGAAACGGATAGAAGATCAAGTTTGTTTAACAGTTGGGTGGAAGAGATGGAACTTGTAGAGGTGGAGTTCTCAGGAGCTTTTCACACTTGGGCACGTGGTCGCTCCTTAGAAACAAGGAAAAGTGCTAGGCTTGATCGAGCCCTATGTAATGAACAATGGGCAACCAGATTTGATAACGCGGCCATGAAGCATCTACCAGCCATACACTCTGATCACTGCCCAATTCTTATATCCCCCAATGGCTTTGTTCCTTTGCAAACACTGCATAGGCCATTTCGCTTTCAAGCAACGTGGATGACTCATGAAAATTTTAAGGAATTTGTTGCTCAAAAGTGGGATAATAACAGCCCCTTAGTTCCAGCCCTCTCAAAACTCTCAAAGGACTTGCAAGATTGGAATCGTGATACTTTTGGGAACATCTTTAAACAAAAAAGAGCCCTCATGGCACGTATAGGAGGCATCCAAAAACGCCTCTCAGAGGGTTGATCAAGCTGGAGTATAAACTTCGTCGTGAGCTTGATGAAATTCTATCTAGAGAAGAGACCTTATGATACCAAAAGTCTCGTATTGACTGGCTAAAGAATGGAGATAAAAACACGACTTTTTTCCACCTTAGTACCATAATGCGTAGATGGAAAAATTGTATTTAGGCCATAAAAGGGAATGATGGGGAGTGGATACAAGACAAGGAACGAATCAAAGAGAATATAGTAGGTTATTTTTCACATCTTTTCACAGAAGAAGGAGAGCCTACTCGCTTTGATGTCTCACAGGATGTGTTTCCGGAACTCCCATTAGAACAATGGAGACTGCTCACTCGACCTTATACTCACGCTGAAATAGATGCGGTAATAAAAGATATGGCTGCTCTCAAAGCACCGGGCCCTGATGGTTATCAAGCACTTTTCTATCAGAAGAATTGGGATTTAGTAGCAAGCTCTGTGTATAGATCCATCATTCCTGTCCTTGAAGGAAAGGGTATGCCTGCAAACTTTAATGACACTTTCATTGCCTTAATTCCGAAATTCGAAAAACCTGAACTAGCATCTCAGTTCAGGCCTATAGGGCTATGCAATGTCGCATACAAAATGGTCACGAAGGTCTTAGTCAATCGAATTAAGACAATCCTGCCTACTTTGATCTCTAATACTCAATTAAGTTTTGTCCCGGGTAGGCAAATAACAGACAACATAGTAATCATGCAAGAAGTCTTGCATACCATGAGACGTAAGCAAGGGAAGAAAGGGTATATGGAAATCAAAATAGACTTTGAGAAAGCCTATGATAGGCTTCGATGGTCTTTCATTCGTGATACTCTCGTGCAAATGAACCTACCAATTACTATGATTGAGGTAATAATGGAGTGCATCACCACAACATCTCTTCAAGTACTTTGGAACGGTGAGCCCTCAAGTAGCTTTAAACCAAGTCGAGGGGTTCGCCAAGGAGATCCCCTATCCCCATATATCTTTGTGATGTGTATGGAGAGGCTGTACCAAACCATAGAAGCGACTATTGTGAATGGATACTGGAAGCCAATCAGAGCAAGCAGGGAGGGCCCCTTACTTTCAAATTTATTCTTTGCTGATGACATAGTGCTCTTTGCGGAAGCCACAATAGATCAAGCGAGTTTAATCCAAGCTTGTTTGGAACGTTTCTGTCAAGCTTCTGGTCAGAAGGTGAGCCTGCCGAAATCTCGAGTTTTTTTTCTCAAACAATGTTGAGAATGAGATACAGCAAGATATTGCCACTACACTGGGAATGGAAGCTACGAAGGATCTTGGCTTATACTTAGGCATGCCTACTCTCACAAGAAGGGTGACTAAGGATACGTACAGTCATTTATGTGAGAAAATTGATAGGCGTTTAGCAGGTTGGAAATCCAAATACTTGTCTTTGGCTGGTCGTATTACCTTGGCCAAATCTACTTTATCCACCATGTCTTTCTACTCTATGCAAACTGCCAAGGTGCCTCGTACAATAACTGAGAACATAGATAGGAAATTAAGAAGATTCATCTGGGGTGGCAACGAAGACAAGAACAAAGTTCATATTCTTGCGTGGGATACTCTCCAAAAACCGAAGGATCAAGGAGGCATTGGCATCTCCTCTGCCAAACAGGCTAATGCAGCATTTCTCACCAAGCTAGGTTGGAGAGTGCTCACTAAACCTAACTTGTTGTGGTCACGAGTATTGCGTGCCAAATATTGCAAAGGGAGATGTGATGTTGACATGTTTGAGTCAAAGAAGGATATGTCAAATGTATGGTGTGGGATTACTGCCAATGCTAAACTCCTAGGAGAAGGTACGCAAATTGCAGTGGGTAATGGTCATAATACCGTTTTTTGGGATCACAAATGGGTAGGAGATACACCATTAAGCAATATGGCTACACAGCCAATTCTTCAGGAGTTGGAGGGAGCAACAGTGGCTGAGATGTGGGAAGAGAATAGTGGCTGGAGGTGGAACATCTTTGCGCCCTTTCTCCCACAAGACATCCTTAAGCTAATTCAAAACCATGAGCTCAGAGTTGATCCAAGTATAGGTGACCTGGTTTATTGGAAAGGAGACTCAAAGGGTAGGTTCACAATTAAATCTGCTCTTAGAATTATGAGACAAGAGAGTGACGCCCTTGATGAAAGTTGTTGGGACTTAATCTGGACATCGCCTATTCAACAGAGAGTACGAGCCTTCCTATGGCTTGCATGCCACAATCGTGTGCTTTGTAACCAAAATATGTTCAGGCGCAATCTCACTGCATCCCCATCTTGTTACATTTGTGGTGGCCAAATGGAGTCCACTCTTTATACCCTTCGTGATTGTCCTGCAGCTAAGGTGGTGTGGCGTAAGCTAATACAACCTATGTACTTTGACCAATTCTTTCAAGGGTCTATTAAGGGTTGGCTGGAAGTAAACCCGGCTTGCTCAGAGGATCACATGGCAGAAGACTGGCTTACTATTTTTGGCATTGCCATATGGTGGATATGGCGTTGGAGGAATTGCCATGTCTATAACAGAAAGGATGAGTTACCTATGGACATTGGAGCTTTCCTTCGCATAAGGGTGGAAGAAATAAAACAAAGTCTCACACATGATGTTTTGAGCCCACACCAAGCAAGTCATCAGGTGACAGCAAACATCTCTTGGCATCCCCCTGCCTTGGATGAATATGTACTTAACTGTGATGGTGCAGCCAAAGGATGTCGTGGCCTAGCAGGTGGAGGTGGTGTAATTCGTAACCTGAGGGTCGGTTTGTCTCGGGTTTCACAGCAAATTTTGGTAGATGTACATCAATGCGAGCTGAGATCCTAGCACTTGTTAAAGGTCTACTACTTGCGCAGAGCTTACAAATAAAAAAACTGGAAGTGCAGTTAGACAACTTGGCTTGCGTTCAAATCTTGCAGAAGGGTGAGGCCAGTGGGGTGGGGAGAACATACAGAAGATCAAGGAATGCTTGAACATGCTTCGAAATGATAATTGGGTAGTAAAGGTGGCTCACATCTATAGAGAAGGGAATAGGGTGGCGGATTGGTTGGCCAATCGTGGAGTTTTGTAAGACTCCAACTTTTGTATTGTTAATTTAATTCCTTTAGAATTAGGGAGAATCTTAGATGAGGATGCAAGAGGAGTAGCTAGGCCTCGCCTAGTTAAGCCATAGCCCTGCAACCTTAGATGAGGCTCTATTAGTTTTTTCTTTCTTTCTTTCTTTCCGTCCTGCTTTGTTTTTTTTTCCTTTTTTACTTGGATTTACTCCTCCCTTGGAACAAAAAAAATAAACCCTTTAAAGCATGGTTATGAAGTCATAATATGTGCTTAAGTTGGTATGTTCAATTTCTCACATAAACTTGTTATTTCACAATCATGCAAATAAATTGCATTAAAGTGTGAATGTTTACTGTGAATGTGAAATTTTTAAAGTTCCTTTTATATTAAAGATCCAATTTTTAAGTGTTTAAATGGTTGGAACTTTGATTCTACATTCCATGGTTGAACTAATTTAGGATTTAATCATTATTGTGTTGATTAAAGTCCTTAAAGTTCAAGTACTTGTGATTAAATCTTGATTAATCTTTATATTGGAAGATGTAATTTTGTTATTTTACACAAGCTAAAAGTTGGAAATTTTTCATTGGATGATTAGTTTTATTTTCCAACTCCCTACTTTGTCAAAATCATTATTAATTTGCATATTAGTCAAATTAATTTTGGGTGTAGCCCGTCAATTTTAAAGCATCAAGAAAGACCTAAATTATTTCAAAAGGGTAATTTTGGATGATTTAGGCTTGTGCACCATTAAAATTGAATTTAATAAAGTTGGACTTATTTTAATTTTATTTTTCCCTAAATTGATTCTAAAATAAATTTAGAATTAATTTTATGTCACACGTAAATCGGGATTAAATTCCCGAGAATCGGCACGCAAATCGAGGCAAAAACACTCAAGCGTCACCAAGGCTAGCCGAGCTGCCTAGCAGTCCATATGTGGCTTCCTATGGTGCGCACAGGGGCTGTGCCTTGAAATGGCGCTGCTGTGTGGCGAGGAAGTGCTGGTGCGCTGATGCTTGTGCGTGGCCTAGGCCGCTGGATGCTTGGGGATGATGCTGGGCAGCATGGTAGCAAGCCCCAGCCAGCCCACCACTCGCTGGCAGGCGCCAGCATGTGAGCCAGCATGCGCAGCATGCGTAGCAAGCTGCTGGTGCTAGCCAGCGTAGCGTGCTATGCTGGGCGCAGTATGCTAGCACCAAGCATCACGCACATCCCATGGGCTGCCTAGCAGCCATGGTGCGCAACCCACATGGATTGAGTGGGACGTTTTTTGCTTAAGTTTTGGGATATCGTCTTTTGCAAAATTTTGCCGTTTTAATTTAATTTAATTAAAAATTTTAACGAGGTTAGACCTCGATTTTTCCGGCTCTTGCAAAATTTTAATTTTGACAAAATTTGGGTTAACCGACTTAATTAATTAGATTAATTAAGTTGGATGCGGAATTTAGTGGGAGCTTATGAATTTTTCGTGAACAAACTGCGCCTTAATAAACATAATATGTTAAACAACTTTGACTAGTTTTAATTAGGCGTGTTAATCGGATTAACCACCTAAGTTAGTTACTAGTTTTTGCGTGTTGTGCAATTTTACTTGTTTTTGTCGTAAAATGCATGGGCCATTCACATATAGTGAATGGATGAATGAAAGCTTGTTGCACAGGTTTCGTGAAAATGGCAACTAGTGGGGCCCGATTAGGATAGAAAATACGGACTGTGATCCGTTATGTATTTTGTAAATCTAAATACGGTCTACGTACCGTTGAGTATTTTTGTACCTTAATGTTTAGATTAATCCTAGTCGTAGTAGCTAGTAATTTTATTTTGGCGAAGATGTCTCGAGACGGTGTTTCCATGAAGACGAGCCAAGATGAAGACCCTTGAAGATTTGAAGATTTCCAGGGGTCATGCTAGTTGCCAAATGCATCTATTTTAATGCTTTATATATATATTATTGTGCTTATATATATATTTGAATGTTAGATGCATGTCTAGGATTTCAAATGTTGCGATGATTAGTTAAGTTCACTTAAATCAACCAGCATAGAAACCCTAGGTCCCTTAAAATATTGAGCTAAAATTTGTCGTTCCAAGAACAACACTTACCAAACTAATGCGCGTACGTGATGGGCTACGCCAAAGCGAGGCATCACTACTTCCCTAGAAACGTAAGGTATACTAGGTATACGAGTTTGTCTTGGTTAAGCTCAACGATATTAGTAAGGAGTCCTTAGATGTCGTGGCAAAAGAGATAAAATGTCAAGGAAGCATTAGATGCGACGTTTTATCAAACCGAGAGTAGCTTGGAGCTACTAGCAATTGGATTCCTTACCCTAAAATATTAAGTGTTAAGACAAGCCAAAGCATGCTTAATCACTTTCTGATTTTTGGGATCTTGGAATAATTTTAACCTCGCCAAAAGGGACAATTATTAATGCGTGGATAAAATGCTCAATAAGATTGAAAATTTGCATGCACGCTTTTAAATTTCAAACTTATTGGTTTATGAATGGTTTTTCATTTCAAATTCTTTCAATTGTAGAACCATGTCTGCAAGTAACTCAAACAACCAGTTTTCATTACACTCAATTCTCGACAAGGAGAAGTTGAGTGGGCCAAATTTTCTCGATTGGCAAAGAAATTTGCGTATTGTTCTCATGCAAGAGAAAAAGGAATACGTCCTTGATGAGGAAATGCCCAACACTCCCAATGAGGAGGTCACGCAGGCTTCCCTTAACCGATGGCAAAGTGTCAATCGGGATGTCAAATGCATCATGTTGGCCACTATGTCTCCGAACCTTCAAAAGACTTTCTTTGAAAAGGAGACGGCTTTTGAGATCATTTCTGAGCTTCAGAATATGTTTCAAGAGCAGGCCCGAACCGAAAGGTTCGAAACCCACAAGAAAATCCTTGAGAGCAAGCTCAAGAAAGGAGAGCCGGTAAGCCCGCATGTTGTTAAAATGATTGGATTGTTTGAAAACATGGAAAGGCTCGATGCTGGGTATTCAACTGAGATGGCAATTGACATCATTCTCCACTCGCTGCACAAAGGCTATGATCAGTTCAAAATGAACTATAATATGCACAACATGGAGAAAACTCTCACCGAGCTTCATGGTATGTTGAAGCAAGCCGAGCAAAACCTCAAGGATGAGGGAAAGCATGATATGCTCATGGTGAGAAAGGGCAAGCCATTTAAGCGCTCGGGCAAGAAGAAGGCTTTAAAGGGAAAAAGAAGAATTTTCCGCCTAAGTCAAACACTGCCAAGAGCAGCAAGGACAAGAAGGTAGCCTCTTCCAAATCCGATTCCGAATGTTTCTAATGCAAGAAGAAGGGACATTGGAAACGGGATTGCCTCAAATTTAAGGAAGATAAGAAGAATGGCACCGTTGCTTCTTCATCAGGTATTTTTTTTATAGACTTAAACTTCGCTAGCAAAACATCATGGGTATTAGATACCGGATGTGGCTCACACCTTTGTTCCAATGCTCAGGGACTAAGGATAAATAGGAGGCTAGAGAAGGGAGAGGTCGAGCTTCGAGTCGGCAATGGAGCAAAGATGTTTGTCGTCTCCGTTGGAACTCTCAGTTTGTGTTTGCCCTCTGGGCTTATTTTAGAACTTGACAATTTCTATCATGTTCCTAGAGTTACCAAAAACATTATTTCAATTTCGGCGTTGGACGCCAAGGGATTTGAATTTCGAATTAAGAACAATAGTTGTTCATTTTACTTCGATAATGTTTTATATGGTAAGGCATATTCAGAAAATGGTTTTTATGTGCTTTCTCTTGACAAACAAGTTTATAACATTAATGATACCGCCAAAAGGGCTAAGACCATCGAGTCGAATCAAACCTACTTGTGGCATTGTCGTCTTGGCCATATTAACGTCAAACGCATCAAGAAACTTCTACAAGAAGGTGTTCTTGACTCATTCGACTTAGAGTCGTTTGAAAATTGTGAAGGATGTCTATTAGGCAAGATGATAAAGCAACCATTCTCCAAGTTGGGAGAAAGGGCAAGTGACTTATTGGGTCTAATACATACGGATGTATGTGGACCAATGAGTACACCCGCAAGGCAAGGTTATTGATATTTCATTACCTTCACCGACGACTATAGTAGATATGGTTATGTCTACCTTATGTCGAACAAATCTGAATCTTTTGAGAAATTCAAAGAATTTCAAAGTGAAGTTGAGAATCAACTTGGCAAGAAGATTAAAGCACTTCAATCGGATCGAGGTGGCGAATATTTGAGCCATGAATTCGACGGTCACTTGAAAGAAAATGGTATTCTTTCAGAGTTGACACCTCCTGGAACTCCTCAATGGAACGGAGTATCCGAAAGGAGAAATCGAACCTTGTTAGACATGGTTCGATCAATGATGGGTCTTAGTGAACTTCCTATCTCTTTCTGGGGACATGCGCTACTAACTTCTGCACTAACACTGAACCATGCTCCGTCAAAAGCTGTCGAAAAGACTCCATATGAATTATGGACTAAGAAACCTCCAAGTTTGTCTTTTCTAAAGATTTGGGCTACGAAGCATATGTCAAGAGATTAATTTCTGACAAACTTCACCCAAAATCAGACAAGTGTTTCTTTGTGGGCTATCCAAAAGAAACCAAGGGGTATTACTTCTACAATAAATTCGAGAACAAAGTGTTTGTTGCTCGTGATGGTGTCTTTTTAGAGAAGGAACACCTTTCCAAAATGACAAGTGGGAGGAAAATCGAACTCGACGAAGTTCAAGAGGACGAGCAACA